AGTGTAAGTAATAAATTTATTGCATTCTTATTTAATTTCAGGAGGAGAAGGGAGTTTGTCCGGCCTCACAAATTAAAGTTCTTGGAAAAAAAACCTCATACGCTGGTAACGTTTTTCTAAATTTGTCCCTGAATTCATAAAAAAAGAAATGGACCTATCAAATTTCAAGAAAATTCTTAAAGAGCATACATTTTGCATTATATTCTTTTAAAGTTTTCCACCTCCCAGAAATAGAAATATTTTTTTATTTTATGTATTTAGACACTATTCACTAGACCACCCAACATCAGCGAGTACGTGAGTTATGATGAATAAAAATGTTTGACTTTGACAAGTTTTCATTGCCTCTTATACATTTTGATACACGTAAAATCATCCTGTGTCATTTCAGGATAACTTAATAAAAGTCCTCAATCAACGACTTTGCCACTGATTAAAACATGGTTTGTTACTCATTATTAAATCAATTTTCCATATCATATCTTTTATTAAAAAGCTAAAACCCTGTCATTAATTAAATTTTCAACCAAATATGTTGGACTAATATAATGAACATTTTATTCAAACGTTAATTGTAGACCTTATAAAGTTAATTCATTTTGGTGGCCTTTAGCATTATATAATATTGTAAAGACAATAAGTCTTCTTTTGCATATTTGAAGCAATTAATTATTAGTTAACATAACATCTTAAAAACAATTTTATTTAATTAATAAAACTTAAGTGATAATGAAAAACATTTTTTACCAGATTTACAGGCCTCAAAAGGAAGTTTTACAGAATTCCCAATACTTTCTTTGTGATTACTTTTCCACTTGGAATTGTAAGGCATGTCTTCACTCAGATTAAAATAACGGAAACAATCACGGAGAAGATTATATACAATCAGCCTCCAAATTACCCTTAAAAACCAGTGCTTGTTATTATCAATTAGGATGAACCTTCTTACAGGCCTTAGTTGTATATAGTTGTTTATGATTATTTCTCAGTAAAAAAAATATATTATAATTTAACTACATGTTCTAAAAGCTATAATGTTCCATTAATTTAAAGTACATATAGTCTTACTACTGTAATAATTTGAAGGCAAATTTCATAGAACCTTTCATAGCCCAGTTATTTTTAGTTGAAAAAATATTATAGTTTTGTTAAAACTTTAAAGGTACATATTAAGAAAAATGTAAAGGATTATTGTTGTTATTTCATTTTTTTTATTTTTTTATTTTTTTTTATCATAAGGCTTCTTAATATTCATACCTATTGTATGAATACAATTTGGCCTGTAAAATTAAAGAGTGAATTGGAATGCTAACTGATCATTTTTCTGACTTTGGAATGGACGGTTTTTGCAACTTTTTGAAAATTGAAAATTAACACAAGAGACAAATCTAACCCAGTAAAAACTCTATAAAATCTTGAGTAAAGCACATGAGGCACTAGAACCAAAATGCTAAACTTTTATGATGCTTTTCACCACTACAAACAATTGCTAACCTCAAAACCGACCATCAAAGGTGTGTATATTTCTGCGTAAACATTTCACAGTCTAATAGTAGTAGTAAAGATGTCATTCAACTCTGCCAGGGTATAAATAGTTTAGCACTTCTGCCAAGTTCTCCACAAGAGGCAACACTACAAACGTCTTTGAATTTCTGTACATATTGTGAAGCAGACCCACACAGACTGACGCTAAAATTACTTTAGGCTTGTGCAAAATCACCAGCTGTGAATTGAAAATACACACACAGCTTGCTAACGTTTGTAGTTAATAGGCTTTCTGTTCATCGAAAAAAGGTTTTTGATTCCAATCATTAACTCAATTTCCAGGAGCTTCTTTGAATTAAATTGACAAAAATTACAACGATCAAGAAAAGGTGGGTCCAGCAATTGAACTTTTTATATTTTTTTCAAAATTTGTTTGGACTCACCAAAACCTAAAGATTAATGTGTAGTTTTAATCTTTACTTTAATCATATTTATTGGAAATACTATGTTGGTTTTCATAACTATGTAATTTTTTTATTACTCAACACACGAAAGTACACTTTCTAAACGCAAAGTGAGCTAAGAAAATAGGTAATTCCCACTACTGTATGGCAAAATTACATAACGATAACTTTCTGAGCATTTGTGGTGCACGGAAAGTAACTGTTATGGGATTTTGCTGTGCAGACCGATCAGCTAAATTGCATTATTTGCTGTTGCATTGTTTTGTACCTCGACATAAGCGCGGAAACTCAGCGTTATGAGTTCGGTTTTTTTCTTGATACTAAGTTGAAGAATAAATAAAAATATTCATGTTGTATACAAGTTTTTCGATATCGTAATGAAAAATATTGATCAATGCTCATCTCAAAAGTGCCATTGGGGGCTCGATAGCATTTTCCCACTAATGCACTCTCTCCCCGCAATAAGTGACTTTTGAGACTAGTAATGAAAATTACAATTAATAGTAGCTAGTACTATCAAGGTTTTGTGCATTTTTCACCAGTCTACTTAAGGTACAAATTTTTATTTTTTATTTTACATGAACAGTGCTATGATGATATCTTGCTAGCCTTGTTTATAATCTCAATACTTAGTTTGAGAAAAGACAGCCAGTATTAAAAAAATTTACAGATTACAAATCATCTGTTATCGAATTTGATGTTTACAAAAATGTTTAAAGGGATATAAAATATTGAAAATGTTATATTTTTGTAACACATTACAAATGCTTAAATCAAGATTTACGTAACAGAATTCTACAAGCTGGACAAATTAATGTGAAGATCAGCTGGATTCAAATGTAAACAAACCAGATTTAGGTTATGTAATCAGCTGGTTTGTAGGTGTTGGTTGCACAGAACAGCTGATCCATGTCAAGGATTCTGCTTCAAATCACTATTTTACCATGCAGTTTACCAAAACATCTCTACTCTAAAAAAATCTCTAAAAAAAACTCTAGGTTAATTAACTAACAGCCTACGTTGATTCCCCAAATAATGTTAAATATATATTTTAATCCACACTTTTTTACCTGGAAAAAGTAGTGAGAGAGTGGACGGTACAAAAATTGTGAAAATTATTTGATACAGTAAAGATTTAACATCTCAACGCCGTTCTAAAATCTGAGTGGTGACCACAGATTTAAAAGATTTACTGCATTTAACTATTTGATGATTTTACATAAAAAAGATACCTTTTGATATATTTTTTGAGAGCAGTTCTTTAGACTACTAAAAAGTACCTTTTTTTACTTAACCCTGATTTTAAAGGGGTTTTCAAATTCGTTGTGTGACTTTCTTACTTTTCTCTGCATACTTGATTTAATGAGAGTTTCGCTTTTTTTGGTTAATTAGAATAACATTTGGGATATTTTAATTCCACTTTTGTGTAGGTCTCTGACAGACAATCAAAGTATGATTAATATTTTAAAGACATTAAAATGTTTTCAAATTCAGCTATGACACACAACTGTTGTATTTTACATGTTATTTGGCCCGATTCAGGATCAAATTCGGCTGGACTAATCTTTAAATTAACTCGTTTCTAATCCCTCTACACCTTCAAATTCATCCTTTAGACTTTCCAAGCTGATTTCCAATACTTATTAGTAATACTGCGTTAAAGGTGAGTTTGTTTACTTTATAAACCCCAAAAAACAAATCCCATAGCCTGTGTAACTTAATCAGATTTAGGCTTTTGGGCGGATTATTTTACATTACAATTACAACTGAAAATCCTTTTCTCACAGACAAAACAGATGACATATTTCAGAGGTATTGAATCACAATTACAGCTGTGTTTGTATCAGCTGATAAAACACAAGCCGTTACTTTTGCACATTTGTGTACTGTTGGAGCTACCAGCTGCTTGACTCCTTAAAAAAGCACTCCTTAAAGCTCGACTCCTTAATAGTACAGTAGAACTCCACTCATCCTCTGATAGTCTCACTCCTCGCTTAATACTTAAATACTTTAATACTTTACTTTAATACCTTTAGATGAAATGGCGACCATACAAAGGATATTTTAAGCCAAGTATGAATGGAGATGAGTGTAGGATGATCTTGTAGTCTTGTTAGTGACTAAGGCCGACATATTCCTTAGACACAACTGTTAATTAATAGCCCAAACAGCTAATGGCACCTAAGGGACCTACAGTTTATAATGGAATCCGAACCACATTTTTTTCTTGGTATATACGAATTGGTCTAATTATCAGGACAGTACTGCGGATAGTCGTAGTACTCACTCGTGCGGATGTTAATCCACACCAGGGAGTATCGCATCCACAGTGTATGCCTATAAGTATCCACAATTCGTGACCTCCTAGTAGCCGGATTAAAGGACGACACCCCCGTCCCAGTCTGACAGTACCATCACGTAGGCTATCAGTGACAGTGTTATTGCGGTACTATTGTGACTATTTGCCGTGATCATGTGGAGTTCATGACCATTTCCTGCAACCACGGCAAAAATCTTATCCTTTACCAGCAATTACTGAAAAATAATCATCATCTCCGGCGATCGCAGAAAAATCATTAACATTCAATGCAGTCGTGTAGACATCATCCTTCTGCAATCATGGCAAAATACTACACATTTCCTGGACTTCTGAATACATCATCATTGTCTCTAGCAATCATGGAAACTCTATCATTCTTAGGGGTCTATCTGCGATCACACCAAACTCCAGAATATCTGCTGCTTAAAGGTAACATCTTTGTTTCCCGCGATTGAGTCAAAATACTGTATTGAAATACCATGGTCCTGGTACCGTAGGTGACGGATTTAGCAGGGTTGTACTATACTAGTTGAGACAACCAGAAATCCTAGGCTTTCACTGGAATGCTGACTGGTAGTGTGTTTTTAATATACTTAAGTATTAGTCTGAGTAGTACAAATTTGTCATAGTAACACGTAAAACAACCACAGTGAAACAAATCTTTAAGAATTAAGATTAAAATACAATCCAAACCAATCAATCATAAAACAGTGTAAAGGTTTCAAACTTACTTGAACCAGTAAATGCCAAAGTGTTCTCGGTAGTAAGCCAGGATCTCAGCTGGGGGTTTCAGATAGTCAAGACCCGTTCTTCGGGTGACTATTCCATTAGATAATGGGACAGCCTCAAACCGAGACCAAGTCTTATAATCCATTTTGAAAGATCTGAAATCAAGAACATATTTACTATTTTTACTGAATTTAATTTAAGGTAGCCAAAGTTGATTAAGGACTAAGCCTAAGGACTAATATAATGCTTTGGTTTTGATTGTGGAAATTGTTATAATGTTGACACGCCTACATAACTATTGTCGCTAAAATAAATCTATGGTACTAATAAACCAGGTCCATTAAGATGGAAATAAGATACTTCAATTGATGAACAGTACATCTAAGAGGAATAAATATTGTAGGCTACATATAGACGGAAGAACTTCCTTGGAAAACCCCATGTAAGTCAGGTACTAAGGATACCTTAATTGAATTAGGCCAATTTTCCAGTCAGAATTCATGAGCAAAAGGGTAAACATGATTTTTAAACATTACCCTTTCTAAATAACATAACTTAGGGTCTACTTGAGTTTTCTTTGCCCGCTCATAATAAGAATAGGAGAAATAAAAAGTAAAAAACATTTTAACCACAGTCAATGTAAATTTGAGTTTTAGACAGAAGGTATTTATATGATTATGTATTGTATATGATACTCTGATACTCTGTTTTAGTTTATAATTTTTGGGATAAATAAACGTTTTCATTTCATTTATCAGGGTTTAAATCATAAGACATTAAAACTCCTAGGTCTCGTATGGCACTCTTCCGTGACAGGATGCATTATTCAAGCGTGTAGAAGAAGTCAATACGTTGCTCGGTATGATGATAAGATACCAAGCTGCAGATTTCAAAACAAATCCATGCTGTAAGCCAGGCACCAGTTGTCGATTGAGTGCAAACATTTTGGGAGTTTGAAAAGTCTGCCTGAGACTTTATGTAGGTAGGTACACCGGATGGGCACACGGGAGGGACTAAGGCTAACATATCTTGTAGTGTCAGCGTTCGCCGCTAGAACTGCTAAGTTGAAAAAATTTAAATTATTTTTTTTTTATTTTAGTTACGGTATAAAATTAACTTTGTAATTATAAAATATTGTTTTAAAATTATAAATTTAATTTTTAATTTTTAAAATTAAACTGTCATAACATAACCTAACCAACCAGACTTGCTGATAATATAAACACTAGGTATATGAGATAAAATCTAATTAATGATTACGTATAATTTTTAATTAATTATAAAATTAATTTTAAAATTTAGCCTAGTAGGCCTATTATAAAACTAAACGGTCATAACCTAATCTAACCAAAAAAACTTGCTCATATGAAAAATTTGTTGACAAAATGTTAGTGCTGCCAGCGGGATTCGAACCCGGAACCTCCTGAACATCAATCTGAAACGCTACCAACTATGCCACGAATTCCGCTGAAATCACATCGTTTCGTTACGGTAATCGTGTTGCCTCAAAGAGAAGACATTAGCCACTAGAGATGACGTCACTACACCTTCAGCCTTCGTCCCTCCCGTGTGCCCATTCCGTAGGTACACTGTTTGAAAACCTTGATATCATCGGCCAACAGCAAGCACTTAGAGTTGATACAATCCACAGCATTGTTAAAAATATGTAGGCTAAGTCAATGACACAGGTCAACTAGGCTACTCTTTGTTATGAAATCCTACTTGGGCTGCGGTAGGCCTACTATTATTTTTTGACTGACCTTTGAAAATGTTATGATGTAGCCTACCTACTTTGGTAAATGAGATCAAGGAGAGTAACTTAAAAAAGGCCTATTTCAAACCTTCTCTTACTAGGCCATAAGATAAATCCGCATGAAGCTACGAAGTTGGATTTGGAGATTGTTCAAATTTTACTTCAACAAAACAACCATTCTAGGAAACTACCAATTTGCTAGTGCAGGAATGGTAAAAATGTCAAGAAAATTATAGGCTATGCTAAGCCTAGATGGGATAGGCCGACCTAGATGACAGAAAATTTGAAGGCCTAGGTATAGATGTTTGTAGAAATTAATGTTAGGCCTACTGTAACTTAACTACACAATAATTTTAATAGTCCTACCATCCAAAAATAGTCATTATTATGTAGATAATTTAAACCGTATTTACATCATTATATGTACCCGTTAAAAAATATATTCTTAGGGCTAGTCTGTGATATAGATTCAGGCTCACAGACCTAAGCTGACCTAACCTACTTTTAAAGATGCAGACCATCCTGCTAAATTCATCATATGTATAAGTTGGTATGTAAATTGCATAATACTAACCGATTCAACTGATTGAGGAAATGTCCATGCACAATCTAGAATCACACTTTCACCAGATAAAAACCAAAATTTTACAAAATACCAATCATCAACCACTAACTAGAGCGAGAGCGCGAAAATGATGGCGATGCGATGACGACTACGAAAAAATTGTAAACATCAACGATCACCATTCTCCCCCACCACCATGGCGTAAACATATGGTATGAAGATAGACATTTTGTTCAACAAAGGCCGTCAGATATAAGATAATTATTTAAACCAAGCTGGTATCATTGATTAAGAACAGTGCGATTCATATTTGTTTTATGGAAATATTAAAAGAACTATTTACTGGAGATTTTGTCTAAATAGTTTCAAAAGGTGTAACATTAATAATCAAATATGGCTCGGATTCCACTATAAACTGTAGGTCCCTTAAAATACCTACTTTTTATGGTCGCCATCGCCATTTCACTGAAAAGTATAAAAGTAAAAAGTATCAATAAGTAGGCAACATCAAAGCCCACGCAACTTGGCCAAATTTTGTATCGTATCACTATATCAGTGAGAAACATAGCGTTAAAAACTTCAAATGATTACGAATGGATCCAAGGATAGTAATTTGTGTTAGGGCGTATGTGCATTATAGATTTCTTATCATCCTAATTGATCAGGTGACGGATCTTCACACACACCAGACCATACCTTCCTTAAAACTCGTTAGGGGTTGTCCCATGGCCACCTTTAACTCCAGGCCGAGGCCTTCGTCTTTAAAGTGGCAACGTCACAAGTAGTGTTGTTTGCAGGAAGCTATTGGTATTTGTGTAATTTTTAAAAATACGACAGATAAGTTACTGGGATATAAAAATATTGACTCTATTTTAAATGTACAGAAATATATTTTCAATTGATATTGTTTTGGTTTTCAATTCTATATGTTTTATTTTCAATCTTTTGATAAATTTATATTTATAAATTTAAATAAATAATACGCGAAATAATTAGCCGGTGTCATCCAGCTGTCTGCCATGTTATGCTATGGGACGTCTGGCGCTGAACAACACTACTCAACACTACAACGTTGCCAAATCCACCACGCCGCGGCCGGCGGCCTGAAGTTAAAGGTGGCCGTGCCCCATCCCATACGGTGTAGGCTAAAGAGAAAATGTTCATATTGTAGGGTATACTTTTTTGTTTTTGTAACTTCTTTTATTAAACCTAAACAGTCCTAAACCAACCTAAACCAATGATTTCTCTGCATTTCTAACAAAACAAACTAAGCAGTAAAATTAGTCCTATAAATAAGAAAAATACAATGTATGTCATTGAGTTGGTAATATCTTGGTCAATCATGACCATTTCATGTAATAAAAATTGATATAAAACTGTTAATCTCGTTTAAAAATTATTTCATGCAAGTTGGCAAACATAAATGCGTTTTACATAGTAAACTGTCGACAAGTCTTTCTAAAACCTTGCTTTGATGGCCTTTGACATTGCTAAACCCTAGCTGGTTTACAGCTCGTTGTCATGGCAACACAGTGTGTGTTTGTTTTGTTTACTTTCGGTTGTCAAAAAGAATATTTATTTGTTCTGCATTCCCTGTAGTGATCCTACTGTTCCTTTATTTGTTTAGGTTTAATTTGCGAGTAAAAAAAGGATCGTAATGACTGAATGAGTTATTCCTGTATTAACAGCCAAAATATACGCTAGACATGTCTTACAGAGATTTAAGGAGTAAGTAACTGTTTCCTTTACAAATAGGTAGTAATTTCTGCTAATTTAGTTACCAAATATTCTAATCTATGTTATACAGTAGCCTATTTTGTTTTAAAGAGAAAGCTATGTAGCTAGATATATGTAACTAGGTTTATCATTTTTGAAAATGCTAAATTGTTTATAGATTTTACTGAGATGATGAGAGCACTAGGCTACAACAGACTTATCTCCATGGAGAACTTTCGCTCACCCAACTTCCCATTGGTAGCAGAAATCCTGGTTTGGCTCACACATAGGTTTGATCCTGATGCAGATATTCATACAGAATATCACAGCGAGGACGAAAGGGTCATGATGGTTCGGTCTGTCGCAGAATTCATGGTAAAGCTATAGGGGTATATTGTATATTTCCAAAACTAACCTAGGCCTCTCCATCTTGTGCTATCCCTTCAAAGTTAAAATCTCCACCATTTTACTTGTGTTCTCCTCATCACTCGTCTTTTCTCTTTCTTTTGCGACTACCTTTCTGTTTCTTTCGCTCATTCATAATCAACTCCATTTTCCTAGGACTAATGCATTCTCATTAATTCTCACATTTGCCTGAGATCATGTCCAAACCAATTTAGGTCCAGTTTTGTTTTTTAGCGAATTTCCCTATAGGGAAGTAGCTATTACCGTAGGTCTCATGGTAAGACCTAGGCCCGGGACCGATTTACTTTTTCATTTTGATGTCCCCAGAGGCCAAAAACACCATTCGTTCAAATTTTTATATATGTATATATATGTCCATCCGCACGATAACTTGAGTAATTTTTGTCCGATTTTGATAACATTTGGTTTGAAGGTGTAAGGCGGGATAAACTTAAATGAGTTCGAACCAGCATGATCGGACCATGGGAACGGGGTTTAACGGGGGGTTTTATGGGGTAAAAATGGCTTCTTCTCATTTTTTACCCTTAAAACACACAATTTATCAATTTTTCTCCAGACTTTTTTAAAGAGCTTAAAAAAACAAATAATTTAGTACATCAAAGTGTTTTTGTAGGTACAATAATTGGTTATGGAGAAAATTTAAAAAAAATTTATATTAAAATTCCCTTTCTTATTCTTATGGAGAATATTATAATATGTTGTAGTTGGCTTGTTTATGAATAAATTTTGATCAAACTTGGCGTTTTCATTTATTTCATACTAAGCTATTGATATTTTAATAAAAAACACACTTTATTAGTTTCCCTGTAGCATAGCTGTAGCTGTAGCATAGCTGTAGCAGCTAAACTAGGTACTCGTTAAACATAAATTTTAATTTAATAGATTATTAATTAAAAATCAATCCAGGCAAATGGAAATTCGCTAAGTCGGCAGGTTTGCTGCAGCGGGGGTATTTCTACTCTCCCTGTTAAATCTTAAATTAGGCTAATGCTCTTATGTACTAACATTCCCAACACGGTTCCAGCTTTGTTTATTTTTAACAGTATGCTACACCATACTCCTTTTAGTAGGACCTTTTAAATTTTTTTCAATACACTTTAATTGCTTCATACTTTCCACAAATTTTGCCCATTTTCCAGGCCGTCAATGCTGGGGTCAAGTTGAACACCAAGTGGCTCTACCAAGCAGACGGCTATGCAGTCAAGGAGCTCTTAAAAGTTGCGGGCCTGCTTTACGATGCTTTGAAGGTTGACAGATCTCCCAATGAACAGCATAGTCTGATCACATCCTCAATGATAGATCTATCCTCACGAGTAAGTGTGATATAGTTATAAGTTTTAGTTTTAACCTCAACCGTCCATCATAGACTAAGATTATCTGTGCAATGAGGGTAAAGCACCATACATTGGCAAGCCACTGTGGTACTCCAGTGATAAGTAAATAGTTGCGGTCGTATTCAAACCAGCAGGTATTGGCTTGTCAGCCCAAGAAACCAATGAGCCTGTGTTTACTTTTAGAAGAGCCAGAAGGAGAAAAAAACCTATAATTCTTCAATATATTTTTTTAATCTAGTTAAAGTTAGGAGGGGCCTGGAGCTTACTACTAATTTCCCCATTGGGGGGAGGGAGCTAAAAGCTTACTACTAATTCCACATCCAAAAAACACTCTAAAGCAGCCACATATAAATTTTTTTTTAATAGGGAGACAAAGAAGAAGGGGCACCGAACTGCTCAACACCATGTTTGACACTAGAATGCTCAGGCCCGTTTTTGACCCTGTCAGCGCCCTAGGCACAACTAATAGTAGCGCCCCTTTGCAATATATATAAAAGGGTGTCCACCGACCGGGAAATCCGGGAATCATGCGGGAATTTTATGAACCGGGAATTATGTGTAAATTTTGTATTTCTACCTGGAGTTTTCAAATTACCGTGATCGCGCATGACAACAGTTTCCGTGACCGCGGGAGACGATAATGTCTACACTCGGCCGCTAGATATTCAGAATATTGCCACGATCACGGAAGACGATGATAATGTCCACACGAACGCGCGAAACAGCAAGAATTTTACCGCGATCGCGGAAGACGATGATGATCTCCACACAACTGCGGAACATGATTAACATTTTGCTGCAATCGCGGGAGACGATTGCCATGTATCCACGACCGCGGGAGACGGCTACGATGTCTACAGGACCGCGGGAGGTACAATAATGATTTACACGGCCGCGAGGGACGATCGGAATTATGCCACGATCGCGCAAGACAATGATAATGTCCACATGACCGCGGGAAAAAATCAGAATTTTGCCTCATTCACGGAAGACGATGATCTCCATATGTCCACAGGACCGCAGGAGATACAATAATGATTTCTACACGGCCGCGAGGGATGATCAGAATATTTCCGCGATCACGGAAGGCGATGATAATGGCCACACGATCTCGGGAAAAGCTCAGTACTTTGCATAATTTGCGGAAGAGGATGATGATCTCCACAAGACCGAGGGAGATGATTACAATTTTTTTACAATCGTGGGAGGCGATTAATATGTTCAAACGACCGCGGGGGACGATATAATGATGTCTTCACGGCCGCGAGGGGTGGTCAGAATTTGACCACGATCGCGCAAGACGAAGATAATGTCCTTACGACCGCGGGAAAAGATCAGAATTTTGCCTCATTCGCGGTAGACGATGATAATCTCCTCACGACCGCCGGATATGCTCATATATTACTTTGATCATGGAAGACGATAATTATGTCTAAACGACCTGACCGCTGAAAATAGTAAGAATCTCGCCGCAAACGCGGGAGACGATTACGATGTCTACACGGCGGCGAGGGATTATTAGATAGTTTACCGCAATCGCATGCAAACATCCACCAATTTTTTTTTATTTTCCAAATTTTTGGCGCCCCCCAAAAAAGCCATTTGCCTTGCGCCCTAGGCACGTGCCTACCGTGCCTATTCGGTAAATCGGCCCTGAGAATGCTGAATTCTGCGGTTGCGCCACTAGTGTCAAGGTTCCAACCAGTGTCTCCACTAGTTGCGCTACCAGTTGCTCATGGCTAATAGCCGCCTAAAAGGCCTGATGTTTTTCAGTTTGTTTTTTGTTTCCCTTGACTGTGAATAGGCCTAATAATTAAATCATTCAATGAAGATGTTAGTAAGGGTTTCTTGGATAAAGTCATATGCTATTTTTCTAAAATCACTTGACTTTTATGTAAACATAGATTAAATGTCAATCAATCAATCAATCAAGAAATTTATTTACACAATAATTACCAATACATAGCGTATTGTTACAAAAGTGCAAAAACCACAAATGGTTTGTAAACAAATTGTTTCTTATTTATCAGTTTGAATCAGTAGCATGCAGTTTTATGAGTCCTTGATTGTCTTTTGAGTGATTAATATCAAAAAAAAGACAACAAAGACACAAATACATTTTTGTATATCTATGTCCATGACGTACCTACCAGATTTATTTAGGTTTTCCTCTACAATGATCAAAAAGTTAAGTCCATGTTTCCTACTAAAAATTGTAATACTTCGGCTAACATCCTCGTTCATCATTTGTAGGAATCTTCATCTTATAGGTGTTCTTCATTGTATAGGCTAATAACGATAATAAATCCTTAAAAAAAACATTATCTATATTTCTTCTACTTGGTGGAGTTCTATGACTTGTTATGTGTCCATAGCTTGCAAATCGGTTCTTTCAATGATAGTCAAGAAATACCGTACTGTGTCAATTCAATGTAGGTACTTATTTGGATAATATATCAAATTGTCCAGGCTTTCTCACTTTTTTAATTGTATGCAAACCCAAATTCAAAGAGTAAATATTTAATTTCAACCAGGTCGGTAAAATTTAATTTTTGTAGGACTCATTTTCTTGAATTACAACTTAAATATTAACAGCAATTAAATTATCCAGCTGATCATAATGTAAACAATTATGTTCCTCATAAAGATGACATGGAAACTTTAAATCCACTGGAGCAGAGCCCTAGGGACTTTTTTAACAAATTAAGGTCAGTTTGCAAATCTACGCAACACGCTCTTTCCGATGAGACATTAATGGTCAAAATTGGTTAAGAATTGGTAGAGAAGTTTAAAGGACAAATTTTGTGTTGGCATATTAATTATATAGAAGATTAAGATAGATAGTAGGCCTATTTTATTAATTCTATGTAAATTAAACTTGGCTCCTGAATTGTGATGGTGCCACACAAGTGCACATCAGGCTTCAGCACACTTCAAGAAACTGGCAACTGCTTAACCTATATACCAGAGTGTGTATTTTAAAACGTTAACAATTTAACTTTCTTAGGATATTAAAGCAGGACTCAAAGGTACAACATTCTTAGCTCATTACAATGCTACGGTCTACGTTCCTGACTTTCATGCACTTATCTGTCTTGAAGCTTTCAGACTTAAAGTTAACACGAGAGCTGGCATCCAGGATCACAGCAAAAGGAGCGTCCCTATACCAACTACTGGGGAAAGAAGTTCAGTTGAGGGTGAGTTTTCTATTTTTTAGATATAGTCCAATCGAAACACAACAGGGTCTAGAAATGGTTCGTAAAACAAAATTGGATGTGTTGCTAGCCTAGTGGTGAGTGTGGGTGATGGGGTTTTTATTGTCCTAGTACGCTAGGAAGGAGCCTGGGATTATTTTTCACATTACTTCAGGTTAGACCTAAGGGTTGTGGCATTATCACTTAGGTAAAATCATTGGTGATCTGGCGGGATTTGAATCCAGGACCAAAGTCCCACGCTCTAACCCATAGATCGGCTTGCTCCCTGTGGCGTATACAAACAAATTTTATAGGCATGGCATGGACCGTTTTTCCTCTAAAGCGTTTAATGTTCTCGATCACAACATGCCACTAGCGTTGAATCACACAAAACAATATAAAATTATTCCAGGGTTTAAACAGTTAAGTTGTTAAAAAGGTTGTTGAAGTACACATTTTTTTGTCATTTTAGGAAGAGCGGTTGGCAAGCGTGAGTTCTCAGTTGGAGCTGTCAGTCGTAGAGGAGGGCCTCAAAGAAGCAATCACTACCAGCAAAAACAGTGTTACCACCACTCAAGTAAGGAATATAAATTTAGAATTTAAACTAAATTAAATATATTTTTTAATGGAGTCATATTTGATTTAATACTTTGACTTTAATATTGTTTGTGTTTGTATGTGCTTGAATTTGCAGCCCTACTTGTAAAATAGTTCAACTACCTATTAGTTAATTTTTAGACAATTTACCTAGTTAAAAACTATTTTATCCCTTACATACATTTTTTCTACTATCACTGATATTTGAAAATAACCTCTTGATATAGTAAATTGTGTAGTTGTAATGTAAATAAAACATATATACACTTGTATTAAATATATCAATAACATTTATATGCCTATGTTTCACAATCAGAGATTTGTGGGCTAATTGTTGTAGTATAAACTAATAAAGCTGTTTTTGAATCTAATTTTATCTGCCCTAGATAAGCAATTACAAAATTAAGACACGATAAAAAATAATCCTAACTTATGAAGAAATGAAATATTATTTTAATTCCTAACTTTTCAGGCTGCCATAGAAAATGTTGCCGCAACAGAAACGAGTCTTGACGCCAAAATTGAAAAAAGGAAACAAGATCTTGAGCGCAACAACAAACGATTGCAAACACTCAAAAAAGTCAGGTGACTACCAAAATAAAGATCAAATTGCAAGCTTTATTTATGTTAACTGCTAATCAAAGTCAATAGACTAAATAATGCTAATGGTAAATCACATATGAAGTATGTTTTTTAGTAAACACTCGCATCTATTCAATTTTCATTTTCATTGGAAGATATTCTTGAACACCCAACTACTCTCTTTTAACAATTCTAAAACTCTTTTCTGAACACATTCATTTCTGGGAACTGCACTCATCTGTATGTAGAATTTTTTGAGAGGATAGCAGGCTTACCTGAATGGGAAAGAGTCCAAACTGGCACAGGAAACACAAAACAAAACTTTACACTATATACACAACTGCTACATTTTCCACATTTTCCAGTTTTCCAGTTCCACAACCAAAGAAAACTACAACATCCGAGGCTTCAACACTTGTGAAACGAAGAACATTATCTACCAACTACAATGTAACAAATGTGAGGCACAGTATGTAGGCCTATCCACCAATAGCCTCAGAACCAGGATGAATGGCCATAGACAAGATGTATCTACTGGATACAAAGACAAACCAGTTGTACAACATGCTCAGAGCCACAACAACCCTAGTTTCAATGACTGCTTTACAACCAAAATAGTCAAATCACTGCCTCCTCAATGTAACCAGTCACAACTGAGAAGATGGGAATTGTCTTATCAATGGTTTACTAAGTCTAGACAACCCCCAAACCTAAACCTGAGATAATACCTTTCATCTAACCCACTCCACTTCAACATCCAACCCTAGCAGGCTTACATATTTATTCATATACAGACTGTCCCAAAAGTCCCGGACCGGTTTAATATTTTCAAAACGACAACAGATAAATCAACAAGATTTGGTACATCAACATCACACCTAAAAATCTACTTTTTTATGGAAATATAAATTTTCTGTCACATCATGGGGACGTCCCGCAAGGAGTCAGAAGGAAATCTTAAATAGAAGCATAGGTTGACATGTAAATCAGATTAAAGGTCTTTACTAGCAGAATATAATGCTGCAAATTTAAACTCAAACGGACAACCAAGTCAAGAGTAACAGTGGTTCAAAGATTCATTTAATTTGCATTTGGGGGCAGAGCCCTAGGAGTCAGAACATTTTTGTTAGCGTAAGCATAGGTCGATATGCACATCAAATTAAAGGTCTTCACTAGTAGATTACAATGCCGTAAATTCAAGCTCAAAAGAACGCCTGAGTAAAAAATGGCAGTCGTTCAAAGATTCAAAATGGCAGGTTCAAGAAATCTTTGAACGGCCGCCATTTTGTAACGGGTGATCCTTTTGAGGCGCGGTTTCCGGCATTGAACTCTGCTAGCTAAGCCCTTTAAACTGATGTGCATATTGACCTATGCTCCTATTTAAGATTTCCTTCTGACTCCTCGTGGGACGTCCCCATGATATGACAGAAAACTGATAGTTCCTTAAAAAAGTAGATTTTTTAGTGTGGTGTTAATGTGCAAAATTTTATTGATTTATCTGTTGTCGTTTAGGAAATATTAAACCGGTCCGGGACTTTTGGGACAGTCTGTATATATAGTGCATATAAGATAAACTGAAACTGTGTTTTTTGAATTCATACTATTGGCAACACTGACTCAACAACTCACTGGCCACCATTTTGGACATCTAGAAAACTCTCTCTTCCTTAGTTGAAAATGCTGTCAGTGACAGTGAAATATTCTAATGTTTGTGTATATAGTGTAAAGTTTTGTTTTGTGTTTCCTGTGCCAGTTTGGACTCTTTCCCATTCAGGTAAGCCTGCTATCCTCTCAAAAATCCTAAAAAATCTATGTCCTTGTGCTCTATGCTACACCTTTCATCTGTATGTAGAGTTTACTGGCACCCGGTAGTAAACCTGATGCTTGTGTAATAGTACAATAGGTACTAAGAGTAATACAATTGCATATTAGAGGTAGTAAACCAAGTAAAATTGGCAACATTTTGTAATAATATACATTTCTTAAGCTGAAAAACACAAAAGCTAACAATATCTCAGTGCTGCACTAATACTTTTATGCTGGACCAGTAAATAAAATATTTTGGAGGATAATGCATAATCTCCCACTATCATTCCTGAACCTTAACAGAATTCCACACAAGTTAACATAAAATTTAAAACAAATGATTACCTTTAGTTGGAAATGTTATATTCTCTCATAAACCTGTTTTTCTAGAGTTTTAAGGAGTTTTACTACTAGAACTACCTAAAACAGGAATACCTTATGTGGCATGTGAGGTTTGTTTTGACTGATCCACAGACCAGCTTTCCTAGAGGAGTTTGAACGTCTAGAGGTGGAGTTGCGTCGTCTGTACCAAGACTACCTCACCAGGTTTCGCTGTGTTGCCTTCCTCGAGCAGCAACTAGAAGATGCTGAGCTAGCGGAGCAGGATCGTTTGGAACTGAGACAGGTTAGTTTTTTACTCAGCTGCTAAATAATGTAATGTTTTTTATCTGTGATTACCTAAAGATGCTTGTAGAGATTCTTAGATTAGGTACTCTGGTACATTTGTATACATAATATGCTGCTAGTCAAAGAAGTAGCTCTAATCAAAATATTAATAGACACCACTTGGCAGTTCAGTTTCATTATGCCTACTTTTATTTTTACTATGGACATGTAGACGCATGTTGGTCGTGTGCCGAGTCTCGACTGAAAACGCTCATTTAAAAAATGTCAGTTTCCCAGCCATATACATACAACACTGATTCAAGGTCTTTTTCCCGGTTATCAAAACTCAAGAACAATTTTATACACAAAGAATCTCTATTTTCATTTAAGGATACCATACAAATTATTGCACTTGCGATTAATTAAATCTGTTATGTAAGGAAAAACATTTTTAATCTTACTTGGTTTGGATTTTGCTTTCAAAACGTGATCGTAAATGGTTGTGGTATTTGTAAACAACATTCAATGTAAACATATCAGTAACAGCTAGAAGAAATAATCTTGATTCGAACAGCTGTTCGTTATTTCATAGATGAACATATGTGATAAACATTGGGAAATTACAAAAAATGGCACAAAATTGGGTTTTTAAACGTCCGTCATTTTATTTACAAAGTGGTGACGCCATATTTTAATGGCTAAAGACAATCTCGCCAATCCAGTGAATACATTAAAATGATTTGGAACTTGATAGGTACTCTCGTTTTTCAGGAGAAGGCCGCGTAAAATGGCTCTTGGGCCGTGACAGACAGGAAGACAGACGACAGACAGACAGAAATTTAGATGAGACTTGTTTCGGTTTCTTTAATGTATAAAACGTAAAAATAACCTAAAAGTTTATGATTCTGAGCAATGTAAAGACAAAACTCTAATTTTATTTATATAGACAACTAACTTGGATCTATCGTTAAATTGTACAACCTCGATTGGACACTATAAGTTGAAATAAATACAAACAATAATTTTCTTTCCCTACAAATACTTAGGTTGAGTTTCTTATTGTTGAAAGCTTTTAAATATTTATAGGGGAAATATAAATATGCAGTCACTTACAAAATCAGAAAATACCTAATATAAGGAAATTTTTAAAGTATTATCATTGAATTTGTACTGCTTAGATCTGAAAAACTTAGTTTATCATACTGCAACCAGTTTTGAATTTGAATGTTTTAGGCGGCAACGAGAAAGATGTTGGAGAAAATGCGGCAAGAAGAAGCTTTAAAACTGCTGGATGATGATTTGATGGACCCGAGCTCAATTGCACCAACTGAGCCTTTGGAACCAACCAAAGCAGTTCAGTCTCAAGGATCCAAAATAACTAGAGTCAGAACCTCAACGGGTGCTGGTGAGTTGAAATATTTGGTAAAAAGATTATAATGGGTAAGAACTTTATGTGAATATTAAGTTGGATTGTAATGATATCCAGTTAGTTATTACTTTATCTCAATCTTCTTTTTTGTTGGAAAAAGCACTTGGCTTAGGAATTAATAAAATGAGAAGGAAACACATTCACATTTAACTCATATGACAAAAAAAGGTCAATGCAGCTAATAAAAAAGTTAACTACACATTAAACTTGATATCATACTCCTCCGATTGGTTCTTCAGATAAAAAGTAAATGAGTTATATTACTGCTTCATTCTAAAACAACCCCTTAAAAGGGCGAAATATCAAGTTTGATTCAAGCTAAGTTTTTATTTTCCATCAACTGCTTGAAACTTTTCTTCTGCGAGTTTGTTGTGTATTGGTTCCAATTCTCTTTAATTTTTACCTCAATCTTGTGGTAATTTTCTTGGATTTCTCTTCATTATATTGGTGATTGAAACAGTGGCCAATAAAAGGTAGTTTTGATTGTTCAAAATATAATTATATGTAGCAAAATGGTCAGAGATCACATGTTTAAGTCGAATGGTTGCTGGTTCGAACCTCTGTAGGTCGAATCTGGACCCATAGACCATTAAAGAGTCCAAATAAGAGTGAGTCCAAAACCAATTGAGATTAATTACCTTGTGACTTTTAAACTATGGATTCTATAAACCACAAGTAGACTAGATTGAAACTTAGGCAAATTCAAAACCGAAGTGAGATAAATAATTAAATTGCTTGCAAGTGCTGTACAGCATTGCACTTTTTACAACAAGTGTTTGTTATAATTTTAAAGTAAGTAAAACTATTAAGAACTATCGAGAATGTAGGTTACGAGTGACCAAGAAATGTGCGTCTGTATTTATGTTTAGACTCAGGAAAATGTCCAAAAATATAATCATTATTCGATTCCTCAAACTGTTTCAGCCGGCAGTAGAGTGTATGGTGGCATGAACGTAGGCGAAGATGAGAGTTTGGACAGTGATAGCGATCTGTTGTTGGATGATGACAACGAATCAGCTTCCGATGACGATTTGGAGCTTCTAGACCCATCGGGAAACCTAACGGACCACTCGGACGATGACTTCTAATTGGGTAGACCCATAGTAGTTTAAGTTATAGAAATAGAGAATAAACATATCTATATCCAAACAAACTTTTTCCAAAGAGTACCCTAAGCTTTTCTTACCCTTGAAGCCCTGAGGATATTTTGATAATTGTTTTAGTGTGCTAAAATATTATACTACACTACATTCAAAATCAAATTTAGGACAGTAAAAATCGAGATTCTCATAGGATTATGTATTTAAATGATATTCAGTATCACAATAATTTTACAACTAAATACAAATGTAACAATAACGATCACAACCATGTTGCCGCGTAGGGCTTGAGTCAGATTTCTCGTAGACACCTAGTATTTACAAAGTGAGCATCTCATGAATATGCCCCATATTATACAGTCACTCTTCACATTCACACGTTGATTAATGTGACAGGATGAAGGTCGTTGGTACAGTCATCACTAGAATTGCAGGAGCAAGTACAGTCAAGAATGATTTTTGTCTAATCTGATTGGACTAAAGTGAAAGTGTACAGTAATATCTCACTGTTTTCTAATCTAATTAGATCTTATCCACAAGATATCTTGCTAGAGAGCTCTCAAGCTAGAGTACAGTCAAACCTGATAGGAACAAAATTATTTTTCTTTTCTTACCCAATTGTAATTATGTGCATGACTTTTATTTGAACTCAATAACATAAAATAACTGTTATGTTTACTTTTTGTGACGGTCCTGAAATCGATGTTTCAATAACCTTCATCCTGTTGACTCTAAATGCCATTAAGATTGTAATGAAGTGCTTATGGTAACCATAAATATAGCCTAACCTAGACTAGGAATGAAACCTAGAAACGAAACCTAGAATGTAACCTAGACTAGAAATGAAACCTAGAAACGAAACCTAGAATGTAACATAGAAAACAATCTGTCAAGAGAGTTTTGTCAGTTGATGAGTTCATTCATAGCCAGGAGTAATTGGAAATGACAATAAATGTAGAATTTGTGTACAACTGAATGCAAAATGTTGCTGCAATTTGTGTAAAGGTAGCATAGTTGTTAACTTACAGCTTTATTTAGTTTTGACATCTCCACATCTCCAAATCCTTGTTTAATTATATAATTTCCTTCAACAATGCATTTATACAAAACGAACGCAGAATAATCCCAAAGACAAGAGTTTGTTTCGTATAATCAACATATTTCTCTAGCACTCAAAATGTAAAAAAAATCTGCAAGTTCACTGATTTAAAATTCAGAACTATTTAAAAATGAAATATTATTATTTTGGTTGAATACAAATTGCAGCATTCCAGTGTAAATTTTAAAATATATAGAATCCTCTGTCCATAAAAATATTCCAAGTAAGCAACTGTTAACACGCATACAAACACATTCATTCAAGATTCTTTTGCTTTAAGGGTGGCCATAAAAAATCTTTTCATGTTGCTTTGCATTTCTGGTAAAAATATACTGTGCTTTGACAATGGATTTGATGTTGCTCAATACTAACCAAACTAGTTAAAAAAATATATTACAAATGTATATGAAACACAACGTGAAAGAAGAACAGTTATTTTTCTGTACACAGTAACTAAAACTAAATACAATTTTCGAATACAAATCCTAAACACTACTTATTGCTTTGATTGTGTCAATACAAAAAGGTTTTAAATTGAATAATTTTCCATGTTGAATTAGAGTGATTGGATGTAAAATACTACTGAAAACTTGTGAATAATATTTAGTCATAAAAAGTTGAGGTTCTGTACGTAGAGAATGCAGAAATGTTTGACTCTTCTTATTTGAAACATTGGCCTTGATTAGCCTTGAGATTGTTGTTTGTTTTATACGACTAATAATGTTTTGCAAACTTGTGCAAGTTAGATCTATTACAAACAGTTAACCATTTTCTCAATACTATACAGTTTACTTTCTTTTTTGGTAACTCTAGCATTAGGGACACTTCGTTCACTATTGTGCTGGATATTAAATCTTTACAACTATTTTATTCTTTGGAATATATCCGTGGCACTCAAATAGAAATAGATTTACGAGTCCATATTTTCAGCCATTTTAATTTCCAAAACAGCACAAAGCATTTTTATGGCACAAATTACATATATTTTTAGAGCATTCTCTATAGAGTTACCCCATTAATAACAACGAGAAAACACTTGTTGTGTATTCCGTTTCTGCTAATCCGATCTCGGTGAAGGATTTGGTAGAGCTTTTTTATGTAATACCATAACTATTGGATACTGAAGTAGTTTCAATAGTCAAAGGTAGTTCTGTATATTTATGAACATACTAAGCTTCTGTTTTAGGAATTAAAATAGCCAAATAAATATTTTAATTTACTGAAATTTTAACAAAACCGATATGTCTCTGATGAAAGGTAAAATTTATGAGGGAGAGAAAACATTGTGCAGTTTTTATTTGTCTACATCTGTTCAGATTAGGCAGATTTTCAATTCAGTGGATTTTGGAATTGGACTCTACTATTTACTTAATAAAAGTACATGTTGTTCAATTTATCCTAGGCCACCCGACAATGACTAGAAGAACTATTTGAGATCGGTAATCGGTCAAGCACCAACCATTAACCAGCAACTATTTCCGCAAAGTGACTAGTTGCTACACATTGCTTTGGTTGATTCAACTGGTTGTATTGCATTGTTTGCCGGTTTTACGATTTGATTAGTGTCACATTACGTGCCCACTGATCGTAAGATATGACATCTGCTCACAGATTTGATGTGATGTGTTACACCTGACAATGAGGTTAGTGTTAGCTGGCCGCAGATGGTGTTGGAACCTTGTGGATCGGCTTGGCGGTTATTTCCGGCAGCCCACAAACCGGACTAGTTCGGTTCCATTGATCCCCGACTGCTCGTATGAGACGGTCTCGGTACCGGCAGAGGGTTCGATCCACTACACTTGCTGATCGTACACAGTCGTCTCCTCCAAATTCACAAACCCTGTAAAAGGATTTTGGAAATGGAGTTATGCAATCTCTTTAATGAAAATGAATAACCTATATCTGCAAGTAAGTAAGCTAACCAAACATATAATTTGACATAGAATGTATCTAATAATTGACAATTTGTTTGGATATTTATTATTATTAGGGATTATAAAACACCTGATATTCAAATTTCAAAATCTTAAGGTTACTAAGAGAGGTTACCTAGAATAGTGGTTTCCAAATACCTTGTCGCAAAACATGCGAAATCCTTATGTTTTTTTAACTATACTATAGTTGTGAAAAAACAGTATTATATTGCTAATAACCAAATTCGTAAGCATTCTTATAAATTAAAAATATAATGGAGAAAACTAATTTTAGAGTGTTTATTCAGAGTAATAATTTATTTTTGTAAAAATATACAACCGACTTCAAACGCTCTAAAAAGAATGAAATAATTTCAATAAAGTAAACTTTTGTATTAGGCAAGCTCACGTATTTTAAGTCGGTGCGGCTCTATGATGATTTTTGATACAAAATTGAAAGAGGGTGTCCATATTGCAGGTGACTATCTATAACTAAAGGTGTTAATCTGCATGTCTTTTTCATAGTTATGCGTTAAGTGTTATTTTATCGCCGTAATCAGAGATCGGCATTATAGTGGTATTAACGAGTATCTTTAAAAAGAATATAACGCATTTAAATGTTTCTAACTTGGAAAAGTAACGTTTTAATACTAAACTAGCTCCTTTTCCCTATCATAATATCAAACTAAATTATTTTCCTATTCATATAGAACATTTGTGTGTGTTATTTTCATAATGCATTTATTCTGAAGTAAACGTAAAATACAAGAAAATATTTCCTTTGATATATAAATAAAACAGTTCAGTATATTTTTTATATATTTATGTTATCCAGCTACAATTTATTGATTTTCAAAATGCACACACAATATTTAATGTCAATCATATTTGCAGTTTGAGCCGCACCGACTTGAAATACGTAAGCTTGCCTAATACAAAAGTTTACTTTATTGAAATTATTTCATTCTTTTTAGAGCGTTTGAAGTCGGTTGTACATTTTTACAAAAATAAATTATTTCATGATTTTTAGTGACTGTATAATTATCTATATATTAATTACTTGAGAATTTTTGATAAGCAAAACTGTTTGAAACAATCAAAAGTTCCACAGAACAATCATTATTTTAAAACTGCTTGAGTCACCTGTTCAGGTTACATAATCACATCTTTAGATATTCCTTAAGAAAGAAAGAGTTGTCCATTACATTAGGCCTAATGAAAAACTAATTGTCTTTTCTAGATACATTGAAATGTCAGACATCATCGTTTCCTGCAATCGGTGTACTTCTACATTATAAAAAGAAATACAGTAACGTCTCAAGCCTTTTGGAACAATATGAAAGTTATTCCTCAGCTACCAGCACTAAAAAATCTCTCAAAAGTGGAAAATTGGTCGTTAGCACCACACTACCTTTCGTATAGTACCTTTGGAAAATATTATATGAAAGATTGGTTCAGCTAAAAGTGGTGTAAGTCATGTAGGGGGTTTTGTTTGCTCAAGATATAGCCTAGTCGAAATTGCAAATCATCTTCCTCTAGGACATTCCGAAGCAGGCATAATATTGATATGTTATAGTAACTGGGTAGAGAATATTAATAAACATTCCACATCTGCAAATGAAATATGTATATGAAAGATTGGTTCAGCTAAAAGTGGTGCAAGCCATGTAGGTGGTTTTGTTTGATCAAGATATAGCCTAGTCGAAATTGCAAATCATCTTCCTCTATGACTTTCCGAAGCAGGTATAATAGTATTGATATGATATAGTAACTGGGTAGAGAATATCAATAAACATTCCACATCTGCAAATGCATGTTTAGTAATTAAAATATTTAACACTTTTGAGACAATTGACGATTATGCACTGTCACACTTCTTAGGTCATGTAAGGGATAATTGCATTTGGTTTATATTTATACCTGTTTTACGAATGCTTTGGTTTTCACAATACACCTTAATTACTTGTCAATATCATACAGCTATTCACTGAAACATATATGTTTTTGTAAGTCAGAATATTCAATACTAAAAACAGAATTACTGTATACACAAATCAGGTCAAACGTTAAAATACATTTTTTATAGTAACCAAAACAAAACGCATTTTTCTCGATGTAATTCAGGCTCCATGGCAAGAAATAGTTTATTGATCAATATGAAGCATCTGTTTCAGGAAGAATTGTCTGTAGCTTCATTTAAATGGTTTCAACTAACAGCTGTAAGAATGTTATTAATATTTATTGCCTTCTCTGCACAAATGTAAACAATCTGCACAAATGTAAACAAAATAAATGTTGAATATTTAACCCTCCGAGTGTCACGCGTCATAAAAACGACGCACAACACACTTTGTGTAGGGTCACGCGTCGCTTTTAAGACGCACAAACATCGTTTACGGCGAAGGCTCTATGACTGACTGAATCGGATTGAACTGGATCGAGTTAGGTATCGTTCTTTCCGTAATATTCTAAGCTTTCTAAAGAGGTCTGTCTCTAAGCGCTATTCATTTTAGTTCCGAAAATATTGTAGCAGACAGCTGACGTGCGTGTATTTGTAAACAGCTAGGTTCCCCCGGACCGATGACTGATGTGTTTTATTACGTTTATCATTGTTTTAGTGTTAAAAATCAAAAGTAGTGATATACGTGGTGCATTATAAGAAGATTTAAGTGGTTTTGAAGTGCTGGTTGATGATCCTGAAGAAGTAGGTAGTGATATTGATGTAAATTATCAGCCAGATTCCTAGCTATGGTTAGGCTATGCATTCTTAGCTAAACGCTATGTACTGAAATCCGTTTTTCGCTCATAACTTATTTATTTGATAACTTACCTCGCTATATGATTATATATTTGTAATCCTCATTAAATTTAGAACAAAGTGGCTATTTTCAAATATTTATAGGCCTATAATTTATACAATTTCATTGAGCGCGAACTTATTTTTTTTTTGAAAATTTTCGAAATTATATTTTTTTTTTACCTAAAAATTTTT